TAAATAAGGGTATTGCACAGAAGTAAAACGTGTACATGAATATTTGTTTAAAATAACATTACAACAACAATTATGGATAGCTGAGAAAAAAGCATGATTGCATTGCCTTTATATGAGAATTAACAAAACAAATGAGTCATACTTACAGGTAAATCGGCTAGCAGGAACTATCCCATGTCATGTATTTAAACAGGAATCCATGTTACATAAATTAACCATCACTGGTGTAAATTATAAGGAATCAATGATATATAGAAAACGGATATGGAGAATGCACATATCAACAACCCTTTCTCTAAGGCTGAGAATCTCAACTTCTAAAATACAATGCTTCTTGGGGATGCCTCGCTATCTTCTTTTCCGATAACTGAAGATAGAACCTGCCTTGAAATATGTGTTTCAAGCTCCCTGGACACATCTGTTAATTTCAAGTCGAAACTGTTTCTATATTTGTGATGTGGAGATGCTATCAAGTTGCTAGAGAACACCGTCGGTGAGCCAGCAGAAAATCTCCTTCTCGGGCTTGTGAACCTTCCCGGCGATCCCGTAAGTCTCCCTTTTGCTATAAAAGATGTTGAGAAAATATCCTCGGTGTCTATAGTTTTGTCCGAATTCATCAATGGTCCGCTTTTTGTTTCCAAGGGAAGAGGTTTTATCGAGTTATGTTCCCCCGTTGGCTTTTCTTTCACAAGCTTTTCCCTGGCCTTCTCAGCTGCCAGTAGGGCTTTTTCCCTGGTCAACTTTATGAGTTTCCATGGGTTAATGCTCACATGGAACTTCTTTGTCTTGATCAACGGGGAAGGTTCAGTTTCTCGTTCAATCCTGATAGACAACCTAGGTGAGCCCTGAAGTTCAAAACAAACGTCCCTGTTGGTTTTGAATCAGAATCAGGTCATAAAATGAAACAATCTATATCATTCTTACCTGGTTTCCTTTGCATAGAAACTTGGACATTAGTGTTGGCTTTTCGGGTGAGTCAAAATCAAAGCTCTCCTCTGAAGAGAAATCAGAATCATCCAATGATTCCAATTCCATGGCTTCATTCTCTTCTCTCATTGCTAGAATATAGTCATAGGTTCTCATTCCCTTCATTAATAACACACAATGTATTCAACAACAACCAAAAGGACATATAGCTAAAGCTTGATGGCAAAGCACTTTCGCAAACTAATTATCAAATCCTGTATTTTCTTCTAAATACTTTGGTAAACTGGTTTAATAGCATTTTGTAATTGTTTTAAATAACAAGGCATGGTAATATATGATCGTTGACAGTTTAAAAAACTATAAAGAAAGCTACCTTTCGTATAAGAAGCACATGAAAGAAGAAAAGCTGCCCCAATGCTGCTGTACTGTAAGCTGTCAATAGGAGAAGCAAAACCTGCAGCAGCATTCCATGAAATTGTAAGCAAATCAGAAGTGAGGTTAAATTTTGGACGCAGTATGTAGCAAAATACAGAAATGTTTAAATAATTTAGACAACTCTTACACATATGGTTGCAAGAACTCCTCTTGGAAATTCTATATGGAGTTTGCTCTGAAGCTCCTTTTCTATTCCCCTTTTATCAACAAAACATCTGATAAATATAGCAATCGCAGCACCTCCTTCAATCAAGAGCTGAAACATAACAAACAATGTTGGAAATTACTCAAGTCACCTAACTCAAACACCAGTTATTTTCGTTACTAAAATTGAAGCAACTTGTTACTACTCACCATTAGCAGAACGAAAATCATAAGAAGAAAGAAAGTTGTGTAGTTTCTTTTTCCAACACAGTTATTCAGCCACTGGAAACAAGCGAAAGCAGATATACTTACGTCATAATAACTAAAAAGAATATATACAAATTAGAAAAGCAGAACATAATACCTACCCTGCAATGGTGATCAAATCCTTCAACACAACGATTGCAAGTCCTGCAGTGCTTACTGTGCTTTTTCACCTGATTCAGAGGAGAGTTGGATTTAACAGGGGTAAGATAAGGATTTGTTTTATACACTTCTCCATACGCAATTATAGAAGAAAAAACAAGAAAGTATAAGGAATTAAACGAGACAGTGGTATGCTCGACTCACATTAGTTCAATTAGCTTCTGTATTTGTTAAAATCTAAATTATAGAAATATTCTTGAATCTAGTTAATTAACTTCTAAATATGAACGTGTGAGTGTTTTTTCCGGCCATTTAAGAATCCGATTCATATTGCTAATATAATTGTAATTAATTAACTTCAAATTTAATCAAACTAATTTCACGTTATTTAATTTTATTTTCTTATTTTCTTTACCCTGCATGCTTGTTGAAAGGTTTATCCAACAAACTAGATTAATTGAAGTACCTCAAAATCGCAAAGTGCACAAAACGAGATGTCATCCTCTTTGAGACTGGGGGCAACGGCATCATCATCGTCCTTCATGACAAGGGGGAATGGCAAGAGAGGCTCCATTTGCGGACTCGTCTTCAAGGGATCAAGGTACTTCCTCTTGATGAATGTCCTCAGCAACTTCCTCTCCACCCTCCTGAAAAATCTTATCACAATCTGCCCGAGAATGAACCCGTAATTCAGCTTCTGAGTCGGATTTAACGTCCCTCTCTTCTTCTTCTTCTTCTTCTTGAAGCTGGTCCTGTCCGTGGGGTCAATCGCCGTGCACCTCACGAACAGAAACATCACGGAGGTTGCCTGCGCAAAAACACGTGACAGTGTCACAGAAACCGAACAGAGTCGAGACTGAAAACAAAAAAACGACGTACCACGACGGAAAACGCGAGGGTGAGTGTTAACTCGGCGGTTCGGTTTCCGAGGAAAAGTCCGAGGAAAGTGTAGAAACACACAACAAGAAAAGCATACACTGCCGCGCCCACAAACTGCAGTCACAAAACAGAAACTCAATGAATCTGATCTGATCCCTGCTTAGATTTTGATATTTGATTCTGAAAATTGAAAATGTGTAGAAATAGAAAAGACCTGTAAGGGGTGGAGAGGGCGTTGCCAACCATGGCGTCTCATGGTACAGAGTATCAGTGAAATGTAGAACAAGAGAGAACGAGAGACAGAGTGAGGTATTAGAGTTGCAAGTTTCACTCGAGTTGACTCAACTCAACTCACCTCACCTCACCTTAACGGTCAAGTCTTTGTTTTCAAAATTGAACTTAACCGGGCTCCATTTGATGTTTTTTTTCTTCATCCAACGGATACCAATAGTGCCTCGTTGTGCCTTTCCCCAGAGAAAACTAGCTTTTTCAAATTGGACCAAATTTCAGGCCTTATCTTTATGGGCTGGCTCCACTCTTCATTCACCAAAAGGGCTTCATCCTGCACACTAAAATTTGGAGGTGCAAAAAGAAAACTAGGAGATGAGGAAGAAAGTCCCGAAACTCCAAAGTGAAACACAAACCAAGCATGCTATACTATTATTAAATTAGAAGGGATTAATTCTATTTTATGGTTTCTATATTTTAATTTCTGCTCGATTTTTGTTATTCATATTTAAATTGTGTAGTTTGCTAACTTTTCCAATTGGGTTCATCAACTTGAAATTTCTTATACAAATATATGATGGAGATGTAGTATATAATTAATTTGTATAAATTAGCAAGAGAAAAAGTGTATCAAATATGTTTAAATAAAATATTAAATGTGAGAGTTTTTTTTTTCAAATATTTTTTATGAATTTCCTATTGCAATAGAAAAAAAATTAAAATGATTTTTATCATTAAAGATTAAATTGGAAATGTCTAAAATAGTTATATACAAAAAAATTAATGGAAATGTTCATATTGTTTACCCAATTCATATGTGTAATTCTAAATGTGAGTAAAATTTATAATTTCTATACAAGTAATCTACTTAACATTATCGTTGTGCACTCCGAAAATTCATATCACAAAAGACGACTTTGCATTATATTACCAATTTAATGCAAAGCTTCCGAAAGAAAAAGGTACTTTAACCCCGATTTTTACAAATTATCCTTTTGACAATCATGTTTAATAATAAAATGTTAAATTAACATGATAAATTTAAATGAAATTATTAAATAAAAAATAATTGTATACTATTAGGAGGATGTAAGAGAATAATAACAATGTTTAAGTATCAGCTCTCGTTAGTAAAAGGTGTAGGAATCAACTGGTTTGCATAAGTTTCGGAAACCTTGTCATTCTAGGCTAGCAAAATTATGCATCTGCACTTATATTATATTAAAATATATAATTTGTAAAAATGATATTAAAAAATATTAAAATAATAGAATTTAGAAACATATATAATATTACTAAAAATAATACTAAAATAATATATGTGGGGGTTATTTTTAAATAAAGAAGTTATGTGTAATTACTTTTTATAGGAAAAGGTAATTTAATTACTTATTTTATTAACTAATGAAATATTATTTTTATTTATAAAGGATTGTCCCATTAAAAATGATATAATTAAGAAAGTAGTAAAATTTATATAATATATACACATATCTATAATGTTTCACAGGCATAAATACATGGCATATTATTTAAGCGGATATTAGAGATAATAAGGCACGTAGTAAAAGTATTTTAAATTAAACATCTCAGCAATTTATCAGAAACATCATATAAACAAAAAGCTTCTTAATTTCACTTCATAAAGTTTAAACACCGTCTTGAACTCCTCATTAGTCCCATTTTTCTTGAATTTACATATTCATGCCTCAACAATGTAACCAAATCTTCGACATGTTAGGTAGCAATTAACACCATTCTGTGGTCACTGTTCAAATATTGTCCAACACATTCCTAATTTTTTACTATAAGCATAACGAGAGAAAAATTAATGAGTGCTGAATGTTGACTTTTTCCTTGCATACAATTTTTCTCCCAAAAAAAAACTATATTCCTATATTTACATTTTATACATAAAGGTAATAATATGTATATATTGTCATATAGATATGTAAACTACAATTCATGTATAGAAGGTGCTGGAGATCCGATAAGTGGTGCATGCATGAAGGTGAAAAAAATTAAGTGGATCCAGGCAACATAGATGTCCCAAGAGCAAGAACATTTCCACCATTGTTACTGTAGATATTATTTGCATCATTGCTTCTAGGAGCTCCAATAATTGACGAGATAGCTGCTGCTAACGCTACAGTGAAATTTGGATTGGAAGCAACAGCTGCAGTCATGATATCTGTCATAAACGAAGGTTGTTTTTGCCCTAATGAATGTTGCAATTTGTGAGGGAAGATGATAGGGTGGCCTGGTAGCTGAGGAAAAGTAGTTGCATGCAATGGAAAAGAGGAGGTGTCCCGGTGCAGTTGCATAGGGTTGTTGTTGGTCATGTCAAGGGTGATAGTGGGAAATGGTGCAGAGGCTGAGAGGTACATGGAAGAGAATACTCCTACACTGTTGTTTAGTGCTTCGTTACTTGTTGTTGAACCTGAAGAAGATAAAAACATAGTTGCAGCTGCTGAGGTAGAATTCGCCATCACCGTGGCTGAAGGTGGAAGAGGGTGGTTATGATTGCCTTCGTAAGTTGTTATCAACACACTTTTGTCCTCTGTACATCTTTGCACCTGTACAACGTAGTTGGCTCAACATAATGTAACAACATCATGCTCAGAAGCAAAAATGAGAATTATTTACCTGTTTTCGAACCGGACATCCTAGTGCCATGGTGCAACGATAGTAGGCACGAGGACATGGATTACCCTTGGATACTTTTTGCCCATATTTCCTCCATTGACATCCATCGCAAATCTGAACGCTCACATTTCATTAAATATACATAAAATAAATGCAGCTGGTAAGTAGGGTATTTAAATTTAATTATTAATTACCACTGGAGCTTCTGATCTTGCACGCACGGAAACTCTGGTTCTTCTTAAAGGAGGCTCACCGGGCTTGGATTCTTCAAACTTGGGACTCTTGGATGATGATTGTTCAATAACATCTTCTACACGATCAGGATGAGCCTGCTTTCCAGCATTATTTTAGTCAAATGATGATGCACCTTTTTTTATTAGTTAATAATGTACCTATGACTTTCTAGAAAAATTAAGAAAATCAGTACCTCTTGACTAGATTTATCATTGGAGACTGATGCAACAACTTTAGCGTCCAATTTGGGGCATGATTGTGGGTCCATTAAATGATGACCAGACATCATCTCCTTTTTCTCCACCTTCTGTTCCGTATACTAAATAAGTTCAGTGCTTTTTGGTTTAACTCTATGCATCTAGATGTTTGAATGTAAATTTTGATATAATTAGCAAAATGTAGCATTATTAGGTTTACGAATTAGTAATTGATAGTTTATACATACTGGTTACATACAAAATAATACTACCCTTAGTAAAATTAAACTAACTGACACAATAAGTTATATTATTTTAAAAATGAGCACTATACGTACTTTAAAATAATGATTTTTTAATTATTTTATTAAATAAAATAAAATCTGGCATGTTCATGAGATAGAATGACATATTTCCACATTTCATAAGTGTAGTTCTTTTTTAGATACTACTCCTTACAATTCATATGTAAAAAAAAGTTCACCTAGTTTTTTTTTCTACATTTAAGTCTTTTTCTTACTCTTTATCTCTTCTGACTAACGACCTAGGAGTTCGTGGAAAGCCCGAAGTAACCACATATATGGATTCGACGACTTTAAGGATGGAAATCATGACGACCTTTCTTAGCTCTTTTAGATCAATGTCCCATTGAAATTGGTAACACTCAGACGGTCGGAAAGAATATGAAAGAATTTAAAATGACTGAACTAATAAAGAGAGTACAAACCATAAATCTTAGTTAGACTGAAGCTATTCATTTAATGTTGTAAACATAAGATCGATCTTATCTGCACAAAACGTATAACAGTAAAACTAATTACACACACACACACACACACATATATATATATATATATGACTGCTAATTACACATAAAACCTAGCTACCTGATACGGCTTTTGCTTCTGCATAGCAATGAAAAATTGAAGATGGTGGTAGTTTTGGGTGACTTGGTCCAACATCGTTCTCAACCTGTAGTTCTCTTCTTGCAGTCTTAGAAACTCCTTTTGGAGCGTATTCAGCTGGAAGCAAAGAGAGAAAAACAAAATTGAATCTCAAAACATAGATTCTGGCATCTATTTAATTTTGAAGAGCATATGTAAAGATCTTGTGATGCAAACCGGAGATTTAAGATTTTGATCAATTGCTGCTGATCTTGACAGTTCATCACTCTGACTCGGACACATTAAATTCAGAGTGGTCTGGATATTGCACAACACAAAGAATAAGGAATATTGGGTTTTCAGAATCTAATTAAAGAGCAAGCATAAATGGAAAATTACATTTACGTGATTTTCGGTTGATGTGAAAACTTACATTTACGAACTAATCAGTGAAAAGAGGTTGTGGTCCGTTGTCTTTAGGAATGTTTGAAGGGAGATGATGGAGGTTATCGGTATGAGTGTGGTTGGACGGTGAAGTTGAGAAAAAATCGAGTTCTTTGACGGTGTTGACGGTTGTAGAATCCAGATCGAGATTGGTGGATCCAAGTAAGGTGATTTGACGACGGTGCTGTTGCATTTGGCGGTGGTTTTCCATTATCACTCTTACTGGGGAGAGAGTTAGAAACAGAAGGAGCACTTTCAACGCCAAGGGTTTAGATGTGTGCCACTGCTACTGCACACTCTATTTCTCTTTTTCATCCTTTCAAGTTAAGACCGAGAATCTCTTTTTATATGCTCAAATAATATTACTGTATATGTTAGGAAAAAACGAAAATGAAATTAAAAAACATTATTTTTCATTTTTTTTTTCAGTTAAAGACAAAAGTGCGGAGAGCGTAAGGTGAAAAAAGAAATACGATATTTTCAATTATGATAATCTTAGTGTTTGATTTTTATTAAATTATGTTTTACTAACTAAAATAAGGATTTCAATGACTGACAATATATAGATTCTGAGAGTGATAGTAAGAAAATTATTGTTTTGACGTATTACTACATATTAATGTTGTTTTGTTAAATTAAAAGTTTAGATTACATACACTATATAACAAAATGTCTATAAAGTTTGGTAAGAATATTAAATACTCTCGATAATTCTAGATTGTTTAATAACTTTTTTCCTTTTCACTGTATTTTTAGAACAGCCATTTCCTAATTATTTATATAAAGCCCCATTTAGTAAATTAACGGGTCCCTTCAAAACATTGGTTTTTTTTTTGAAGAAGCATTATCACCTGTTAATGAATCTCAAAAGTACATTGGTATCCTCATAAAGATTATATATATATATATATATATATATATATATATATATTATACATAATTTGATGATCTAAAAAATATCTAATTCACTTACATAAGAATGATTCTTCTAAATTTAAAAAACTTTCAATATAATGGATTTAATACCTCTACGATAAGAATTGATATTTTAAAAAATAAAGCAGGGCAAATGTTAATAATAAATATATAATAAAGCGTATATTTAATTTTATATTTGCCATATATATTATATAGCTAAACCACTATTATTTTTTTTAACAAACGATTGAAAATTCAATCTATGCTTTAAATTAAGATTATTAAAAAGCCGAAATCAGAATATGGTGTTTGAAAGATTCATTGATCAAACAACTAATCAGAAACATATGAATAGCATCCCGTTTAATGTTTTCTGTTATTTATGCTTTTATTAGTTACAGCACAATTCATTACATTTTTTATTCGTTAAATATATTAAATACTCTGATTCTAAAGTAATTAGTGATTTTTCAAAACATTATTTATTCCTTTCTCCATTAATTAAAATACGCGAGTAAGACGTATTCAATAAAATAAATCTGTAACTGTTCAAATATTGGTAAGTTCCCGTCTAGTGAAAATAGTTTTATATTAATTACTCTCAATTATAAATGACATATTGTTAAAAACAAAAGCTGTTATTATTTTTAAAAAAAAAGAGAGTAATGGTTAAAATAGAAAAAAGTATCTCGTTTGTGTTGATTTTTCTCTGTCATTCGGAGACGTTTTGAGGGCACGGCTCTATCTGAAGGTCGTTAGGAACTGCAAGAGGTGGGCCCCTCTTCGTATTGGATCAGCCCTCCACGTCAGCCCCGCGTCACTCTAGGTTCATGCCATCCTTACCACTACCCAATAACTGAAAAACCAAAACTAATTTTCTCACCCAGTTTTATTAAAATAGAATTATATAAGTAAATAATAAATATCGATTAAAATTATAATATGATTAAAACTATCACTAAATAAAATAAAATAAACTAAAATTTTCTCATATTAAAAATTATTTTCTGAGTTTTGTCTTTAAGATTTTTTAGAAGATAAATATAGAAAGACAAATATCAAATTGAATCTGTTTGTATATATATGCATATATACAAACACTCAAATTTCTCATTTGTCATTATGTACATGGTTGAACGCAGCGTTTTTCTAAAACGTAATGTTTCTAGGCCACAACTGACCAACTTACACGAACACTACCAAACAAAATATTGAAATTAGCATAAAAGATGGATCCTGACTTTTCGCCTTATTCATACAAATTACAAATTACAATTATTATTCATCACAAATTACAAATTACAATTATTATTCATCACGAGTGTTTTCAAGCCATAAGAAAATACAACTCATAATATTATATAATATTCAGTGAACAATATTATTGTTTTATCCTGTTTTCAATTTACTATAAACAAAAGAATTAGAGGTAGTCATATAAGAGTGAGAAGAATAAACTAATTAAACTAGTGAAGACAGTCGACGTGATAAAAGATAGATGGATTTTGTTTTGGCACTCTTCCCATGGTGAACTAGAAAATAATGACATACCCGTTATGATGAATCAATTAGACCTACATAATAAGAAATTGAACCCATGATCTCAGCTTCAAATTAGCAAATGGGTATCCTGAAGTCAATGCCAGGTTATGTAGGTTTCTTTTACATTCATCTTTCCTTGTTCATAACTTTGACAAACATGCCATTCCATAAACTACAAGTCTTCAAATCATCATCAAGTCAACGTCATCTTAACCAGCATGATTCATTTTTTCTAGCAACTTTTAAATTCCATGTTTTAACCCCAATCTCGATAACGCACGCCAACCCTTTTTCTTCAAATATTTATTTAGACTTCAAAACCTTAATTACGACATTATTGCATAAATAATGGACTATTCAGCGTAGTTATGAAATTTTTTTATCATTGGAAGACTAATCTTCTTTTTACTTATAAATTAAGTAATTTCTAGCATGGACTACCTACATTCTTAGCATATAAATTAGTTCTTTTTAAGCTTTTACATCATCTAATCACAATATTCTATTACTATTATATATCCATCTAGCCTTAGGATGCAAAAGCCAAAAAGGGTTTTTGGATCGTTTCTGAACCCACCTAAATGGTATAAGAATGATGGAAAATGATTATACTAAAATGGATCAAAATTATTGACAGAAAATCTTGAAAACTGAGAAAGTTATTACCATAACAGTGATGTTGACGTTTTGAAAATAATGACTGATGTTAGTTTAAAAATAAGGTAAAGTTTGAGTATTTTGTTGAAATTGAAAAAAAAAATAAAGTCCATGCATAAGCCATGCAGACCCACGCATGCATGGTGCGTATTAAAATATAATTGAGACTAATTAAGGCAAAGAAACAATATTTAAGAGGAGATGGAGTATGGGTGTGTTATGGAATAAAGGACTGAGGAGACCCCACTCATGTAATTTCAACTTTGGCTCGCACGTTGGGTTCAAAAACCACCATACTCAAATTCAAAACTAATCTTCACGTGTGTATTAGTACTTTCATCAGCAGATTCTGATTTATCCCTACACTACACCACCCTATAGTTAATTATCTTACGTAGACTCTTATTATCAGAGCATTGATTAGGTGGGAAATAAAGTGAAAGTTGAATAATCTACCCCAATCATCGTTCAATACGTGCCTGATTACGCTAATCTTTGCTTGTTTATTTTGTTAAATATAATCTATAGTCTACTTGGATAAAGAAATATAACTAACACATACCAAAAATTAACAGAAATTGGCAAACACGCAAGATGGTAGTGTTACAATCTGATTTCGTGTCGTTAAATGTATTGTCGTGGTCAGAAAAAACGACAAGGGA